ATGGGTAGATGGGTAGATAGGTAGATGGATGGGATGGATGGGTGGGTGGATAGGTAGATGGATAGGTAGATGGATGGGTGGGTGGATGGATGGGTGGATGGGTGGGTGGATAGATGGGAGGGTGGGTGGATGGGTGGGTGGAAAGAGCTGGAGTCCAGACATCTTTGGCCCCACATTTGCCCTTTCCTGCCGGCATCCGCCCTTCCTCCTCCCCGCCTCCCAGCGCTGCTCCCTGGCGTCTCTTGCGGCTCCTTCTCCTTTCTTGTGTGCAACCCTGTCCCCTTCACTCTAAACAGGCACCAGAGAGGCCGTCCCGACGGGGCCATGGTGCACAGCCTGCTTTCTGGGGTATACGGCCCTTCACTTACGTAGGTAACCTCATCTCATCCCCTCTGCCGCCCTGTGCAGAGAGGCAGGCACCAGCAACCTCATTTTACGGGGGACGTTGGGGTGCATGTGTGGGAGTGAGGCAGATCTGGGGCTGGAACCGCTGCTCTGACTACCACACCCGGGCTGTCTGCCCGGCAGCCACACGTGGAGATCTCCCCGATGGGGGAAGCCGGGAGCCTGCAACAGGAAGACCCTGCACTGATGGCGGCGTCCAGATCCGCCAGGTTAGGCTAGAGCTGGGCTGCAGAGGAGATGGCGGAGCCCGAGGACTCAGCTGGTGTGGCAAGGGGCACTCCAAGGCCTGTGCCCCAAGGTGTGTGTGGGTGTCTCTGGGACAGTGAACACTGATGTGAGTGAAACACATGCTCCATTGTCTTCCAGATGGATCCAAGTCACAGCTGCCTGTGGACCTAGGCCGGTCTTTCGCTGCCTGGAGCCCACATATAAATGATACCGTGGTGACCCCTGACCCTAATGGCTAACGTGCACTGCGGCTTTCCTAGGTCATCCTGGCGTTCAAAGCCTCACATGTGCACCTTACTCCTCCGTTACAACAGAGGGTGTCCGCAGATGAGAGGGAGGATAGCGCCTCCGCCGTGCCACAGAGCTTTTTAATTGCAAATCCAGGTAGAGGCAGAAGCGTTTTGGCCCCTGGCTCTTTGTCTCACTTCCTTGGCTGCCTGTGGCAAAGAACTTCCGCTCCTGGGCACTTCCCGGGTGGCAAGCGCCCTTTGCAGCATTTTACACAGATTCTCTCACTCACTCCCTGCCATTCTGCAGGACAGTCACAGTGTGTGAAAGCGGGGCTCGGAGGCGAGGCTAACATCTGGAATCTATTAGCAGGAATCCAGCCCAGACAGGCTGGCTTGAAAGTCAGCACTGTAAAAAAAAAAAACAAAAAACGCAGATTTTTTTTTCTTAAAAAGACTGAAGTATAACAAACACTCACAAACGTGTAGAAATGAGAAATGCTTAGCGCCAGGAATACTGGCAAGGCGAACGCCTCCGAAGTGGTAAACAGGTGCTGCAGTACTCCGCAGGACGGTATCATCCTTCTCCCCAGGGGTGACTTTATCTCTTCAGTACCGAGGACTGAATTTAGGGACTTCGAGCTACATTGTCAGCCCTGTTTTTTATTTTTTTAATTTGAGACAATGTCTCACTGAGTTGCCCAGGGTGGCTTTAAACTTCTGATCCTCCTGCCTCAGCGGTCTAGTAGCTGCGATTATAGGTGTGCGCCTGCACCGGCCTCTCTAGCCTGATTTTTCATCCTGGTTTTTAAATTGTTAGACTACTTTTGCCTGTTTTTGAATTTCACATAGAGTTGTTCAGTAGTAGTCATTTGATCAATATATGATTTATATTGTTGGATGTAAGTAGCTTACTTAAATTTACTATTCTACTATAGATTCTATTGCGGGTTTTTCTGAAGAGTGCTTTCAGGAATGTTCTTGAGCATGTATTTTGGGCTGTATCTTACTGGGTATGTATCTAGAGGTGGAATTTTTGGTTGCTTCCAAGTGGTTGTACAAATTTGTTTTCCTACTAGTGTTATATGAGAGCCCCCTTCCTCCACATCCTGGTATAGTTAGGATTTAAAATTTTACCTATCTAGTGGATATGTAGTGGTATCATTCCTGTTTTTCTATGTGTACTTATTAAATAAAGCATAATTGAAAGTGAAGACTTTTTTTTTTTGTAGTCCAGACTGACCTTGAACTCTATAGCTCAGGCCAGCCTTGAATTGGAGATTCTCCTGTCTCAGCCTCCTCAGTGTTGGGATTACAGGCGTGTGCTCAAAAGCAAGTACTTAGCACCTACCGTCTGGCTTCCCACGACAGTCCTGTGAGCTAGGGATTTTGCAGATGAGCGAATACAGGTAGAAGGTGCTCTCTCTGCTCTTCTGTAGCAATCTGTCTCCTTTCCTGGGCCCCTGCCTACTTTCCCAGTGGTATTAGGGTGTCTGAATACCACCAAGCTTGGGTGTCCCCTAGGACAGGGAGGGAGAGAAGGGAGGGAGGGGTGAGTGGGGCAGGAGCGGAAAGATGAGGCATAAAGGCTGGGGTGGCGGCTCTGGTCAGCAGTGACAGGGCACAGAGAGGCGTGGGGCTGTGCCCAAGGGGTAGGTGAGCAGGGGAGAGGGGGCACTGTGTGCATGGGCGACAGGGACCTCTCGAGCCCCCGCCCTCTCCCAGGGTTCACTGAGTCTGAAGACCCCTCTGCAGGGGCTCGGTGAGCCCCAAGGCCTTTGGAGGACCTCTGGGCTCAGCGGCCCCTTGGCAGTGTCTGCTTGGGGGTCCTTTCAGGGCTGGGTGGCACCCCATTCCCAGAACTGGCGGAGCAGGAGGCAGGGCCTCCAGAGTGCGGGGAGAGGAAGGGGTCTCCGCACCTGCCAGCCAAGGGCCACCGGAAGCAGCCAGTCTCCCGCTCCTCATGGCAGATGTTGGCGAGGCTGGCAAGCAGCTCTCCCACCCCGGGCTGCGTGTCCCTTCTCCCGAAGGTGCCCTGGGTCCCCGGACGCACGTTCCCTGCTGGGGCCCCAGCGCGGTTCCCCGGTGACAGTTCCGGCTGCAGAGGCAGGGTGGTGCGTGGTGCGGAGGCAGGACACCCGCGGCACACACGGTCCTGCTGCATCAGTTGCTGGCAGCGCTCTCAGGGGAGCCCAGTCACCTCTCCGGGTGGCGACCCCTTCGCTCTGCTGGTGTCCTGCACAGGCCGCAGTGAGAAGGGATGCCATGGGGGACATCCGGAACCAAACAGAAGAAATCCAAAGCTTAGACTGTGACGCCGCCGGAGCTGGCGGGTGTCCCAGCTCCCCGAATCTTCCCCACTGTGCAGGCGGTAAAACAGGCTGAGGCAGAGGAAGCGGTCATGAGCTGGCGGGTCACAAGGCAGCGGGCCTGCACAGCCTGACTGCAGAGCGCTCTCCCCGCCTGCCCGCCTGCTCCTCCCTCGGGGGAAGGACCTGGCCTCCCTGTGCCTGCATGGCTTCGCTGATGGGTGTCTGCTGCTGTGGGGCCCCGGGGGGCTGATCCACTATGGCGATCTGTGCCCCCTACCTAGTGTGGACACAGTGGACAGCCAGGAGGGGACTGGACCATCCCATAACAATGTCACCACCCTGACAGCTGCTTTGGAAGGCAGCAGAGTGTGGGGTTAGGCGTGCGGGCCCTGTGGCCCGACTGGAGGCCAGCCCAGACGGGGCGATCCCCGAGGGCAGAGCCGTGTCCTTCCCAGGGCCCAGCCCTTCCGTCCCATCTGTGCCCGGCAGGGGTTTGAAGGAGGCCCAACAAGGCCCCAGCACTGGCGTGTGTGGAGCTGGGCACGGCAGGGTTCTCCACCCCCGCGTGGGGGATGTGGGGTGCGGGCAGGCCTCATTTTTTGGCTGGGCCCAGGTCCTGGAAGGGTGGCCAGGAAGGGGGCCAGGCTGTGCCTTTGGATGGCCCCCGTCGGAGCGCCTAGTTCCTGAGGAGGCGGCACCCTGGTCCGCTCCTGCTCCGCACCCCTCGGGTCCCAGAGCCTGCTCACCCGAGACTTCACTTTGCCTCTCAGTCATTCTGTGGAAGGCGTTTTCCAGACCGGAAGAAAACTCCCTGCGAGCTGTCACACCGCGCCACAGCCAGCAGTGCCCCGCCCGCAGCTCTCCCGCTTTGGGATCTGGCCTCTCGGGGGCAGGGGGAGGGGACCCGACACCCAGTCCTGCGGCAGCGCCCGGGTGAGTGGAGCGACCAGGTCCTGCCGCGGATCTCCAGCCAGTGGGAAGCTGAGTTTTCCAGCACGGGGTGAGAGGTGGGAGAAAACCCTGGATATCTGTCATGTGGGGTCCTCTGCTCAGGTCTCTGTCTCCGACTGCAGGGTCCTGCTTTGCAGACGCGGTCTGAAGCCGGAGATCTTCAGTAACAGTTTCAGGGTCCCTAGTGAGTCCAAGTGACAACGCTGGGGCTTGCATCCAGTCCAGTGGGACAAAGTGACCCCTGTGCTCTTTGCTCTCCCATGGAAGAGGTGGTCCAAGGGTCACCCCAGAGCAGGTGTCCCGTGCCTGGGTGGAGAGCTGACCCCTTGGGTCTCTGGGCCCGGCAGTGTCCCGTTTAAGCCCCTCCCAGGGCACCTGCCCACTTGCCGGGTGGCTTTTACTTATGCCCGCGTTCCCTCAGTGGAGAGGGAGGCCCTGGGAGCCCAGCTTGGAGAGAAGCCCGGACTCTGGTCCCTGGCTTACCTCCCCGCCCTGCCGCAGTCCTCACCGTGGCCAGTAGGTGGCGTCATCTCGCAACTTTTTGGTCTGTCCGCGGTCCCGACAGGCCTCTTTCTTCCTCCATCACCCCAGGGGCTGCACTTGCACCAAGTGGGAGGTCACCGTCCCCTGCGAGGCTGAAGACCTCTGCTTGGGGGAAGACGCAGGAAGCGAGGCTGTGAGCTGCCTGTGCTTCGGTCTAGCTGCTCGGAAGCCTTCCAGAGACCTCCGCAGCGGGTCACCCTGACCGCGGCCCCAGACTAGCAGAACCCTTGCTTGGGGGGTGGGGGGTGAGAATCAGGGGGCCCCGCGCCAGAGGCTAGGAGTCGGGGCTCTGCCCCACGAGCCCCTCCCGGTCTGCTCCCCGTGCCCGCAGGTCTGGGGCAGAGGTGGGGGACGCGCGGCCGAGAGGCTCTCGGGGCGGCCCGCCGGCAGCGAGGGGTCTTGGGCGAGTGGGAAAAGCCGCCCCTTCCTCCAGAGCCTCGAGCGCCCTCTGCCGAAGGGGCCGCAACAGTACAGGGGCGTGCAGGAAGGCCAGCAGGGGCCGGGGAGTGTCCCCCGCAGCGCACGGGTGCGAGGCCAGTCTCCCGGCCCCGCGCCTGCAGGAGCGCTCTGGGCAGCCGAGGCAAAGACCCAGGAAGGAGCAGGCGGCTGGGCGCACTGCCTCCCCGAAGTTGGGTCCACCCCATCCTGGGGGAGGGCAGGGCGGCTCAGGGCCCGAGGGAGCTCCGGAGAGGCTGAGGGGCGGAAGCTGGGGGGCAACGGGGCGCCCGCCTCTCGGCCTGTTGGGGGGCTCTCGCTGGGTGCCTGCGCCCTCGCCCAGCTCGCCGGGCGCGGT